AAAATGTTCCATTCACTTATAGTTCCAGTATTCTTTTATGCCAGTCCTATATGGGCTTTATCAAGAATTGGAAAAGAAGTATCACATTATTTTTTTGAGCAAATTACTTCATATTGAACATACGGTGCCTGGTTATGCAATTAGATCAGAAACTAACCGATATCAACTTTTTCCTTTTTTTTGAAGCGATTACTCAAATTTTATTTTCGTATGTTGAATACAAATGATGATAATATTAAATTTCTATTTCAGTTAATGAGCAACCAAAATAAAAATTCATCTACTATAAAGGCTACATGGTATCAAAAATTTAAAAAAAACTATTCAGTCTTTTGAAATTTCTATATTGCTCCTCAACTCAACTGAAGACAATTGTAAATATGCATATTCTTTAATGATGAATGCTGCTTTATCTCAATCAATTGTTAAAGATCAAGATTCCATTTTAAACTCGACTTATCATTATTGGTACCTGAATATGTTACACTTTCCGTCAAATTCGAATATTGTTATGTCAAATACCAAATTAAATATTAAGCGTACGCTAATTCAAATTCAACTTAATTATAATTCGTTACCGATTGGTAACATCTACATTGACTTCTCAAAGAAATGTTATTGGTGTAAAGCTGAATCTTTTAATATATATCATATTCTCATCGTATGTCCAACTATCGAAAGAACGCAACGTAAATTTAAAATTAAAGAAATATTTGATGCTAATCAAAAAATTTTTGATCTAATCTTGACAATATACCAATATGAAAGATGTATAAGATTCGTAATTTTATATTTATATTTTAAATAAGCTGAATAATGGTCTTGATTATTGAATAGTAAATATGTTATGTAACATTAATCTAATGCAGTGGTTCCCAATTAGTTTTTCCTGCGTACCACTTCAAGAAAGAGCTCAAACTCGCGTACCCCTTATAGCAGAAATTCATATTAAGCCATACTAATATAAATTTGAAGGTAATTATGTCTGTCTGTCACCTTTTCACGTCTAAACCACTGAACAGGTTTTAATAAAATTTGGCACAGAGATAGCTTACATGTTGGAGATGAACATGGGCTACATTTTACTGCGAGAAAATATCTTATTCCCATGAGAAAATTCCATATAATGCGGGTGAAGCCGTGGGTAGACAGCTAGTGATAAATAAAATAAGTTTTTTTTTTTTACATTTATTAACTTTAAAATACAATTTTAATAATAATGAAAATAACATAAGGTTATTTAATTTTGATTGTTACAAATGTGCACGATTTTCTTTGCACAACTTTGTAAAATCTGGTTGCTTTTTGATCAGCTTTAGTCTCGAGTCATCTTCGAGTTGAAGTCAGTTACGATGTTTAGTTTTCATGTTTGTCATGGCCGAAAATCCGCTCTCACAGAGGTACGTTGTGTAAAATGGCAGTGAATATTTTATTGCCACTTCGCTGACATGATAATAATGATAATTGTACAATTAACACAATTTGTGTTAATTGTACAATTTTTGTTTCTTGCGTAAGAATTTCATTTAGGTATTGTCACAAATGCATTTTTTTAATGAAATTTTGAGATTATTTTTAGTTANAAAAAAAAAAAAAAAAAAAAAAAAAAAAAAAAAAAAAAAAAAAAAAAAAAAAAAAAAAAAAAAAAAAAAAAAAAAAAAAAAAAAAAAAAAAAAAAAAAAAAAAAAAAAAAAAAAAAAAAAAAAAAAAAAAAAAAAAAAAAAAAAAAAAAAAAAAAAAAAAAAAAAAAAAAAAAAAAAAAAAAAAAAAAAAAAAAAAAAAAAAAAAAAAAAAAAAAAAAAAAAAAAAAAAAAAAAAAAAAAAAAAAAAAAAAAAAAAAAAAAAAAAAAAAAAAAAAAAAAAAAAAAAAAAAAAAAAAAAAAAAAAAAAAAAAAAAAAAAAAAAAAAAAAAAAAAAAAAAAAAAAAAAAAAAAAAAAAAAAAAAAAAAAAAAAAAAAAAAAAAAAAAAAAAAAAAAAAAAAAAAAAAAAAAAAAAAAAAAAAAAAAAAAAAAAAAAAAAAAAAAAAAAAAAAAAAAAAAAAAAAAAAAAAAAAAAAAAAAAAAAAAAAAAAAAAAAAAAAAAAAAAAAAAAAAAAAAAAAAAAAAAAAAAAAAAAAAAAAAAAAAAAAAAAAAAAAAAAAAAAAAAAAAAAAAAAAAAAAAAAAAAAAAAAAAAAAAAAAAAAAAAAAAAAAAAAAAAAAAAAAAAAAAAAAAAAAAAAAAAAAAAAAAAAAAAAAAAAAAAAAAAAAAAAAAAAAAAAAAAAAAAAAAAAAAAAAAAAAAAAAAAAAAAAAAAAAAAAAAAAAAAAAAAAAAAAAAAAAAAAAAAAAAAAAAAAAAAAAAAAAAAAAAAAAAAAAAAAAAAAAAAAAAAAAAAAAAAAAAAAAAAAAAAAAAAAAAAAAAAAAAAAAAAAAAAAAAAAAAAAAAAAAAAAAAAAAAAAAAAAAAAAAAAAAAAAAAAAAAAAAAAAAAAAAAAAAAAAAAAAAAAAAAAAAAAAAAAAAAAAAAAAAAAAAAAAAAAAAAAAAAAAAAAAAAAAAAAAAAAAAAAAAAAAAAAAAAAAAAAAAAAAAAAAAAAAAAAAAAAAAAAAAAAAAAAAAAAAAAAAAAAAAAAAAAAAAAAAAAAAAAAAAAAAAAAAAAAAAAAAAAAAAAAAAAAAAAAAAAAAAAAAAAAAAAAAAAAAAAAAAAAAAAAAAAAAAAAAAAAAAAAAAAAAAAAAAAAAAAAAAAAAAAAAAAAAAAAAAAAAAAAAAAAAAAAAAAAAAAAAAAAAAAAAAAAAAAAAAAAAAAAAAAAAAAAAAAAAAAAAAAAAAAAAAAAAAAAAAAAAAAAAAAAAAAAAAAAAAAAAATGTCAGTTCACTAACACGGGGTAAGAGAAGACAGTTTTTTTTAATGAAATCACTTCTATAGAACTATAATTATGGCTTTGACAGAAAATTTTTTCAAAGACATATTCTTGTTAGAGTTTATCCACTTGCACAATATATTTTTATTTATTGTTGTTTACTATTATTGTTTACGATTACAAAATTATTGTTTACTATTATTTAGTAAACAATAATGTTATGTGCGTGAATTTATCATTTTAAGTTGTTAATACAGATCTTTGTTATAAATATGAAGGTTGTTTAAAAAAAAAAAAAAAAACTGAACTTTTCCTATGAAAATTTTATTTATGAACAAGTTTATTAGGTCTTATCCTCCTCTAATTATCATTTCCAATGTTTATTCTATGATTGGATCATGATGTTTTCTGGGATAATGCACAGATCTCCTACTGCATTTTCCTTTATCTCCTGTGGTTCAAAAGAGATGTCCTTTCAAGGTTTTCTTCAACTTGGGAAACAAGAAACATTCTGCTTTGGGTGATATCTGGAGAGTAAGGTGGTAGAACACATTGCTTGTCTTGTTTTTTGCCAGATAATTGCAGTTCAGCTGCAAAGCATTGTTATAGCACATCATCAGTGCTCTTCCTGTGCACAGCATCCTTCAAATGCCTTAAAACTTCCAGGTAGAATTTTTTGTAGACTGACTGATCATGGTCTTCAAGATATTTCAAGTTCACTTTGTCAGAAATCCAACATACACTATGCACACATGTTCATTAAAACAATCTTATTTCAAATTCCAATACTATATATTTCTATCTACTTTCTGATTAGCTCAGATTTTTTTCAATTGCCATTGTTTATTCAAAGCTTATCTATCCAAAATAAAAACTTAGACAATTCAAAATTTAAATCATGCAGTCTGCAGCAAATGTTAGACATGCAGCAAAGTTAAAAATTTGCCTTTTTTCTTTTTTAATGGGAAAAGCCTTTTCCAAAAATTCTCAAAAGCAAAGTTGACAGAACTAGTTTCTTTGCATCAGAATCCTAGTTAATTCTTCTATTAACACACAGCTCAGGACTTTGAAAATCAAATTCATTAATTTTCTGACTTTAAATAGTAATAGAAAATTAATGAATTTGATTTTCAAAATTCCAAATGATATTTTAATAGAATTAAACATGATTCCAACATAAAAAAAATTGTTTGGTTCTAGTACTTTTGGTTTTCAGAAAGTTTTCCCATAGAAAAAACATTGCATTTTTAATGCATTTTAATGGCATTGGATTCAGGCTGTGTACACACTAGGCGTTTTGCGTTGTGTTAAATGCGTGTTAGCAGTGTACACACCAGGCATTAGCTCGGCATTAGATGAGCATTTAGTGGAGCATACGCACTGGCTCAGTTTGGAAATGGACGTGAAAGTAATTGCTTGTGTGCCCCTCCGCCATCGTCGCTATAAAAGATGATGGCAGAGGCAAAGAGAATTTTGAATGCACCCGATATTACGAGATAGACTGACACATGGAATGTTTGCGACGTTGCATCCAAAACTAAGACAAAATAAACCCAAGTTTTTTAATTCTTTTAAAATATCTATAAAATCCTTTGACAATGGTTGGTCTCTTTTAGATTTCATCAATAAATAGATCAGTATCGAAATGATCATTCTCCATTTCAGCCAACATATGTCCACTCTACCCGAAAACACGCGATCGAATGTACAGTAACATGGCAGCACATATATCTCAAAGCGCTGGGCTGACGCCCGCAAAACGCGCGATCGAATGTACAGTAACATGGCAGCACATATATCTCAAAGTGCTCGGCTGACGCCCACAAAACACGCATTTTAAGAAAAATCTATACACGCGCGTTTAATGTGCGCTTGGCCAAAAGCATGCGTTTGAGTGTGTATGCCTATGCAGAACTCTTGGTTCGTCAAACACGCGTTTAAAAATGCCTAGTGTGTACACAGCCTAAGACTGATTGCATATGCTTTGGTTATGCATGTGCGCATAACCAAAGCATATGCAATCAGTCTTAATCCAATAATTATTCTAATCTAATTATATCAAATAAATATTTCAAGATTGTTTTATTTAATACAATAATAACTAATAGTAATTTTTGAGTTTTTTTATGTTAAATAAACAGTAATATTTTTATGCTTACCCTTTCAGCCCGAACAAGCTGTCTTATAAAAAACTGTCCAATTTGAGATTTGGAGTCAGGAGATACTACTGGTTGAGACATGCTAAAAAGAAGTTTGTAACCAACATCTTCTAATTCTTTATTTACTAATTCCAATATAGTATTAATACAATCTTGATTATATCCAGCAACTTTTTTAATTTTTACCAGAATCTAAAAAGATTTTATTTTAATTCATAAATTATAATTATAATTAATATAATTATATTTATATTAATGTAAGATTGCGATTCGGGGGTGATAGGGGACTTGAAACCCACTTCACGTCACCTGTGTAAGGTAGCCGTCTCCTAAGTGGGAGACATTAATCCCGCATCAGGATGAACCTAAGGGTTGTATGTATGTGGGCCGTGACGGAGGAGACNTTACAAAAACTTACACCTTTATAAATCCATCAATAAAATTTAATAAAATAAGAATGTTTTCGATCAGTTTAACTGATCTTCCTCACTTACAGAAAACAATAAATTTAATGGAACAATAAAATAACATAAATACAAATTTAAAAGAATAAGAATTTGAATTTAAGGACATTATCTTAAAAATAATAAAAATACATGAATGAATAAATAAATAAATTCAACAAGTATATAAAATTAATAAAAATAGAAATAAATGAATAAATATCCGTTAATAAAGCAACAAAATAATTAAACTTTGTAAATGGAATGCCATGCATTAGACAGGTTGTCCACACTGATTTTTTTTATGAGTCTTATAAATTTCTAATTTTTCTAGATATCCTATAGCAGGGATGGCCAACACATAGACCATGGTCGACCGCAAAGGTTTTGAAAGTATCCCACGAAGCTAAAGTTGAATAATTTGCTTTCACTTAAATTAATGTTTAAAAATCTTAATTCAATAATTTATTCTTACAATAATAAACTGTCTGTGCAACGTACCCATACTGTTTGTATTTATCCTGACGAACAATGCAAATGAATGTTAACATATGTGCATATAAAAATCCTAAAATTGTTTGCCCATATTCATAGTCGTTTGCAGACTATATTTTACCAAAAAAGTAGCCTTTAAGGGATAAATGTTTGGCCACACCTGTCCTATAGTATGTATATTAGATGTGGGTCTGATGGTTTTTGCTTGCTCCTAGTTTACTTGTATGTCTTGATGTTGTGAGTAAGCTACCAGTGTCGTCTTATTGAGATTTTTTCAATTGTGTACTTATGTCGTCCTGAGTTGTCGTCTTAACCACGTAGACCAGTTTTGATTCAAAATGTTGGTCTTTTATCAGGATGGAATAAAACCCCAAGGACAAATTGCAGTTCTCGGAGTTTTATTCCATATCATATCATTTCCATTTGTACATATCATTAGAAAAACTCAATTCAAAAAATTTTATCATTTAACCTTAACATGTTAATCATGATGATATATTTTGAATGAAAAATGCTCATGACAGTAATTCCAATCATGACACTGCTTAATATCTATGTACAGTACATAATTTTTTTTAACAAAAAGTGAAGTAAATTGAGTAAATCTGTAGGACTTAAATGCTTAATAAAATTTTTAGTTTTTATTATGTGAGATCCCAATCATTACTGTGAGAAAAGGGTCACATTAGACATAAACAGCACCACTTTTCTGTCAACAATGGTAACTCAATATGCAAATATAAGACATATTCCTGTGAGAAGACAAATTAACTGTCACTTGCATCATATGAAATTATTCAGGGGATTTGATGAGCATGAACTCATCACTCAAATGGTCTGATGGACTGAAGTAAAAAGTTTAGGGATCTTTACAGGTGCCAGAATAATATGTTCAGAGATTTTTAGATTTGATAAAAACAGAGTTTGTAAAGTTTTTACTAGTATGTACAGAGTAGAACAACAAAAATTAGACATTTCCAGAGAATGATGAGGAAAGACACTGACAGGCCAATTGACAACTCATCTATCTGCCAATAACTGCAAGCACAAGTGACGTATAACTCTCTCTCTGCACCATGATAATGAAGAATGTGTAAAACAATACTTTTAATTATTTTTAATAAACAAGGCTTTCTTTTTATTAATGTGAGGTTTGCTGCTCTGTCATCACAAGATGATCAATGTATAGATTTATTCTACACCTTAAAAATTCCCTAAGATTCTCTGAATTTTTATACAAGTATAAAATTCTGAGAATTTGTATTTTCCTGTGTTTTAATAATATTTAATGCAAATTTTACCTCATCAATATGTTCTGAATGTCCATTCACTGCAAGTGCAGTTATAATTTGCAAATAATTTTTATCCATGAGAAACACATCATAACATTGGGCATCCATTAGAATGTCATTGATTCCTTTAATATCACCATTTTTTGCATATCCACATGCTAATGCTGTGTAAGTGTCTGCAGTTGGTTCAAGTTGAGCATTTCTAAATTAGAAAAATTTGCACTTTAATATTAGCACAATAATATTTAAATTTAAAATTATTATTGTAATTATTTATCACCATTTTAATTACTACAGTAGAAGTTCATTAATACAGCATCTACAGGATAAAAGAGGTATTGGATTACTGAAAATGCCAGATTACCATGTCTTTTTGCATTTTCACAAAATTCACTGTTATATATGATCAGAATGTTGCAAATATTACTGTAAATTTGTACCAGTACACACTACTGTATGCTTCCAATTCTTTTATGCATGCTCTTAAAAAGTCTGATGATGATATAGTGCCTGACTATACTGATTGAAATTGATTGAAAAACTTGCAAAAACAGTAACAGACACATTATTGCCCAGGATCTTTACAAAATGTCTAAACAAATTCTGATTCACAAAATACAGAGAATGCAAGATCATCATCAGACAATTCCAAATTACTGGCTACTTTTCAGAGCATGCCAAATTAATGAACTTCTACTGTACGTAGAAAACATAATTTACAGTAAGAAATTAATACCACTGTTTCGTTTTAACTACATAAATTAAAGTAAATGAATATTCTTCAGTCTAGTTAAAATTTTTTATATTACTTATTTCATTCTACATTTAAATCAGCTATTAATGAAAAACTGTAAAATCATTTTTTCTTAAAACCAATAAAATAATGCCAATAAAATTATCATCATCAGTTATTGTGTATTATAATAATATTTTTATTTAATTATATAATATAAATGATATATAAAGATTCTGTAAAAACTTACTTCATAATATCTAAAATTCCTTTTGCATTTTCCATATTACTGAAAAATAATTCAAATTTAAAACAAAAAATATTTCACAATTTTTAAAATATATTATAATACCTACCCTGATTTTACATATCCCATTACAAGGAAATTAAAGACAGTTTCATTAATAGTTAACTCCTTTGACTTCATAAATTCAAGTATTTTGCTATAAAAAATAAAATCAAAAATGTTTTAAAGTTATCTTAACTTAAACTATTTCAAACAAGAGAAGAACAAATTATCACACAGGTGTTAATTATGTATAAATATCGCTATATTTGCAAGCGCTTTCGACATGCTATAAAACATCATCCTCAGGCATATGCAATATCAAATAAAATTTTTTCAAACAAAGACTTTGAATTAAAACTAATGGCATTAGTCCTTTAGAACAAAGCTAAACTTAGAACAACTAAATGTAAAGAATTTAAATTGACACATGTTGACAATGCACATGCACCATAATGCGCTACACAACCATCTCATCTCTCACCTAACGGATCCTGATAATCATGATAGGGACAACACCAGGCGCATCAGAGAAGACATCGAGCACATCTCCACAGCCTGCAAACTCTTTATTCCACAGACCCCTCCTAAGGGCAGGCAGGTGCCGTGGTGGAACTCCACACTTTCAGAACTGAGAANAAACGTCGTACGACGCCAGGAAAATTTAACCTTGAGTAAAACTACATTGTTTACGTCTACCGGCGGTCGTATGGCGCTGTACGGGAATTTCCATTACGACGGCGCGCGCGTCGCATGGCGTTAAACGTGTTAATTTACAAAGCGGCAATAGAGCACGCCATTCTCTATGTTGTCCTGGTTTGGCAAGAGGCGCTAAAGAAACAACATATTCGCCGCAAGCTTGCCTCCACCCAGAGAAAATTCACTTTTAGGATCTGCAAAGCCTACAGAACGGCTCCTTCCAATGCACTTCTTGTCATGGCAGATCTCTCCCCCCATTCACATCCAGGCAAAGCTTTTTAATTGGTATTGGCACTTGACTAGTCCTGGTACCATCCCTGGCAGGATAACACTGCTACCCATAACTACATCTTTGCAGACCTCATTAAAGACAATACTTCGTTGGTCCACAGCATACATAAATATGGTGTGGACAGGACTCTGAAGAGGGCGAACACAGCCACCATCCAGTTGACGATCTCGGCTATATCATCAACTAGGACTTCCATAATGTACAAAACCTTAAGGCAAATTGGACCATTTAACTTGACCAATCTCCCTCCTGCCTACCATGGGTAAAGTTCTGGAGAAGTTAATTAATAATAGACTCATTTGGCACTTGGAAAATGGCAACTATCTTAGTGAACACCAGTTTGGCTTCAGGCCACAAAGGTCTGCTCTGCAAGCTATCAACATGGTAATAAGCAAAATCCACTCTCTCCTTGGAAATAACAAATACATACTGGGAATCAGCTTGGATATTTCTAAGGCCTTTGACAGCACCTGGTGGCCTATTATCCTCAAACATCTCAGAGACATTAACTGCCCAGCTAGCATATATCATCTGATCAAGGATTATCTTACAGACAGAACTGCCATACTACAATATGGTGACTGCCAACACGAAAGAAGAGTGACATGTGGCTGTCCTCAGGGATTGTCTGTCCTCAGGGACGGCCTGTGGCCCCACTCTTTGGAATATTGCTTTTGATACGTTCCTTTGGACAGACTTTGGGCAGGACTCCATCACAGCTTATGCTGATGATGTATTTATTTTAATTGGTGGAAATTCCAGAACTGCTCTTGAGCACAGAGCAGAGCTTGTAATTAAAAACATTTGCATATGGGGTGAAAATAACAAGCTATCCTTCAATGCAGAGAAGACCGAATGCATCATGTTCAACAGCCCTGGTAAAAACAACCTCTACGCACGGGTCCCAACCATCAGAATGTATGGGAAGTCTGTCAAGGTAAAAAAGCATATCACTTACCTGGGCATTACTCTCGACCCCACTCTAACCTGGACCAGCATATTAAACATATAGCTGCTCGCATGGGCCTCATCTTTCATACCTTTGCCAAGTATGCCAAAAATAAATGGGGCCTCTACGACCACATATTTATTCCTACCATCACTTATGCATGTGGCACTTGGGGTCAAGCCGCTCAAAAAAGTCATCCTAGACATGCACCCACCTCTGCCCAACGTAAAGCCCTACTACTCATAACAAAGGCCTGTCACACCACCCCAAATGCAAGCCTTCAGGTGATGGCCCACAAACTGCAATTGAAAAGGTTATTGACTTATACTACAAACAGTGGAATATCAAGTGGGGACAAAACATTCCCTTCCTGCACAATTAATGCCAATGATTTGGAGAAGCCCACTCCCTTTCACCTCACTCATTACCCTGGAGATCTTAACCTGATTAAATTTAATGGGAACTTTAATAACAACTGCAAAGTGTTTACAGATGGCTCCAAAGTTGATAATCATGTTGGAGGCAGCTTTGTGGTATATAGGGACGAAGATGAAATCTTCCACAAACGACTCAGACTTGCCGACCATTGCTCAGTCTTTCAGGCTGAGCTCTTTGCTGTAAATGCCACCATACACTGGTGTGAAAATAATTTCTCTGGCCTTAGTATAAACATTGTCTCTGACAGTCAAGCCATAATCGCCAGCATTAAAAACAAAAAACATCCGCACCACCTAGTTACTGATATTTATTGCACTATTCGTCATTCCACCAATGAATATTTCTTGAACTGGACTCGTGCACATCAGGGTAATCCTGGTAATGAGCGGGCAGACAAACTAGCAAAGGAGGCCGCCACTGACCTCACTCTCACCACTAGTTATAATAATATGAGCAATTCCATCTTAAAGCACATCCTTTGGAACAATCTCCTCAAAAACTGGCAGAATGACTGGAAGAACAACCGTCAATCAATTACCAATAACTTCCCACATATCTTGGACATTTATAATTATAAATGGTTGAAACTTAACCATTCCACATTGCAATTTTTTACCAACCATGGTAATTTCCACTGCTACCTTAACAGATTTACCAACTACTCAAACAATATATGCTCCCTCTGTGGCACTCAGGATGGAGCACTCCATTATATTTTCAACTGCCCAATGCTCGATGCTGAGCGGCAACATTTAAAGATTATAATCAACTCTCAGGGAAAGGACTGGCCCTGTAGTTGCAACGAGTTGATCAACGAACATTCCACTTACGTTTACTTTAATCAGCTGGTCAACAAATACTGTAAACTTGCAGCTCTCCATGTCTCAACTAGCACCTCCTAACAACATAAATACCACCTCTTATATCGTATTCATATTGTTACACAATTCCATTTATGTATTTGACCTTTGACATGTACTTGTCTTGTATATTGTGTTCCAATTCAATGTCTTGTATATAAAGTCATTCTTATTTGTTATGCGATCTCTAGTATGTAATTAAACTGCTTTGTATATCATGTTATGTATATAGTGCTCCGTATCTACAGTCCCGTCTTTTATTTCATACCTTGTATATAATTGATTTGTATCGAAAATCATGTTATGCTATGTTATGTACTCTATTCCTCTGTAACTTTACTGTTGTATACGTTTTCAAACTGGTTGTGCTTATGCAGTACTGGACTTGTACCTTTGTACGGCAATAAAGAACTTGAACTTGACGGTTCCAGCAACGACACAGGCAACAGTTCAGGCTTCATCATTGTCAATTCTAAAGGGAGGACTTGTTACCAGGCTTATCATAGATTGCCCCCCCACTGCTCCATCTCCCAAGCAGAGATGTGGGCCATCCTGAAAGCCGTCATTCATATCACCAATAACATTCGTCAATTCAAAGGAAAAATTCTTATTTTAATGGACACCATTCTGCTCTCCGTTAAAATAAGGATTTTCCCTCAATACCTCCATACCTTCCACAGGAACAACTGCCTTACTAGGCTTGCTTCCAGAATGTTGTTAGCAGCAAAAGACCTTGGATCATTTTGCACCCTATAATTTAGTTGCATTCTTTTGCACAGTGGCTTCAAGGGAAACGAAACAGCAGACAAGCTGCTGAAAATTGGCAGCAGATCTTCATGTCACCATTCATTCGACAAGATTCCTCAATCCAGTTTGAAGAATCACCTTCGAGCCTTTGCTGAGGCTCTTTGTCAGCAGGAATAGTCTTCTGCTAGCATGGGAAGAAACTGTTTTAAGTTCATTCCGAATACCCTTGCCAGAAAGAGAACCAAGCATTACACTCCGGATGTGGAAACATCACAAATCCTCACAGGACATGGAAACTTTCCTGCATACCTTCACCAGTTCGGAAAATCTAACAACAGCAACTGTACATGCTCAACCCAATCCGTTGGAGAAGTGTTACACCTAGCATTCCATTTCCCCAACTTCAACCACCTACAACTAAGACTAATTACCAACTGCCTAAAGAAAGGACTAACTTGGCCACCCAGACCAGCAGACTTATTCCAAAACAGAGAACTCTGGAAGGATTTCATCGACTTCCTCAACAGGACCAGAGCCCTTATTTCCTACCCACAACAGAACACCAGCCTACCAGAAGAAGAATACCTCAGTGGATGATTAGATTCCTTAGTGACTGATCATCATCCCCTCCATTGGCTGTGACCCTTACTTAACTGTAGACTACTGTGGTTATCCCTTTGCAAGAAACTTTGGACTGGTTACCATGCCTAATTCTTAATCACATGATGTTATTTTTATTTTAGGTTCATTTTGCATATAACACTGGTTATGGTTTCAGTTTTATCTCATTACGTGATCCTGTGTATGGTCTCTTCCCATGCTTCTGTACCTTGGTTCCTTTATACTGCTTAATGCATTTTGTAACCGTGATCACTTTTAATTAATATTGCACCGGTTCTCTATCCACACGCTATTCTTTATTTTGATTTTAAAAATTTCTGCCCAGTTATTTTGTACTGCGGACCACTGACAGTGTTACAATCCTGTGTAACTGCGATCTTCCTTATTTTGTACTGGACTGGGTTTATTGACAACCTTTAACCCCTTATAAAGTCTGTCCTACCATTGTCACCCCCGACTCAAGCTGTTACCAAGCATATACGGTTTTATTTTATTTCTGTATATAGTGGCCTATTGCAGCCTCATCTCTGCACTTAAACGAATTGTTGGGCTTTACTGTTTCCAACACTGCGTTGTTGATCTTGTGCTTTAATTTGTTATTTTATTAATATTTGTGATGCGGTCGCACTTAGGCCCACCCACCTTCTTTTCCAACCTATGCAACTCTCATTCCTCCCACTTAAAATACTCTTCTCTAAATTTTTCTTAGCATTTCCATCTTCGACAACTTAATCCCTTACTTCACTACTTCCTTCTATGAGGCAAAGTCCAACTCATTAATGGACAGCCTCCTAACGTCTGTATAAAATAAAAAATAAATAAATAAATAAAATAAAATATCTCCATAGCATTTTACCAGCAAAACTTGTGACCAAAGAGGATCATTATATTTCATCACTTTTTTGGCTAGCTCTGTTGAACATCTCTCATTTGTAATATCTTGCTGTATGATGCTCTGCTAGATGGACATACAGCATTCTGGCAGTGGCACCTATATATAATAAATTTGATCCATTTAGTGGATTTTGTAAAGTTATAGCATAAACTCCAGATTTTTCAGTGTAACCCCATCTCTATCATTGCAAAGTATCCTATGCAATATGGGCTGGGAAGCTAGTGGCGGTATATATAATTTTCTAAAGGCTCAGGTATATATGTAAAGAAGTTGGACCTAGATACAAGATGCTTGCAACACAGAGACCAGTTCCTTCTTACAAAATAAGTGGATCATGGAAATAATGCATTTTTTTTTACCCAATTAACTAAATAATTAAACATGGTGAGAGAATATCCAGCTCTGTCACTGCTAATTTAATCTGCTAATGATCCTAGATGGAAATTGAGGAAAAGATGGTAGGTGCTGTAGTAACTGTATTTATAAATGTACAGCTTTATTGGATCTAACAGATATTTAGTGTTGATTATTATATGTGACTGATGTATTTTCTTTCCTACTGACCATTGCAAAGTCAATGTGCATAAAAATAGGTTTCTCATACTCAAAGCATATGTAGCTTTTGTGAGTTATATGTATACAATACAAATCTGGAAATACAGTATATGTACAGTACACATATATGAATCATTGTGAATGTTGATTTTGTGCAATAACATATTTTTTATTGTTTTTGTAGGTTTCAATCAATCTTAATCACGCACTGTAACATCTTTGGACTGATTAAAGAGCATTCATAAACAAATCAGAAGCATACAGCAATATATCTGTACAAAATGTACATCAATGTCTGTAATGTTCAGATCAGATATAATTTATTGAATTTTGTAAATATATAGAAACATCCAGTAATCTAGCACCACTGAAATCCCAAAGATGCTCGATCAACAAACTTCTAGTTTGCAAGAAAACATGCAATCTTCTGAACCTTTAATAAAAAAGAAAGGCAAAAGTGCTTTTC